TGCTTGCCTCGTCTGCCTTCAGGACAGCCAAACAATAGCTGAAGCTGGTCTGGCCGCTGGCTCCAAGGTTATGCTAGTCGCGAGCTCTGCCACTGGTTCTGCAATGTTCTCCCATACTGCAGTGTTCTGCAATGTTTCGCGATGTTCTGCAATGTTCTTGCAGGCTCTGCCTGTTCGAGCGTTTCTGCATGTTCCCGCTGAGCAAGCCAAGGCAAAGGATGTGTCCTTCGTCCAGTCCTCCCGGGCTGATCCCCTAGTGACTCTTTTCTAAAAACGATGAGGACAGCATAGTAACTTTGATTGAGCGAGCATCAGTCCAAAGGAAAGGTTTCGCGGAGGAGGAGCGGGATGAGCAAAGCCGGCGCAAGCGTGCGCGGGCTGCTCTATCAGCTTGGGGCACTAAGCAGGACTCGGAGTTCAATTTTGGCTCGATCAAGGCTGATGCGGCTTCATCCCATGCATGACCTGGCGAGGGCGAGAGCATGCTTGAGGGGCACATCTTTCCAAACAACTCCCTAAGGGATTCTAATGATTTTACTGGTGTAGTTCCGGCACCCTGCAGGCCGAGTTCAAGTATTCCGAGCCCCCTCCTTATGAGGCAGAACGCTTACTGCAAAAGCTGGCCACAGACCCTGGAATCATCGAAATCATGAAGACCCGAAAGTTCAAAGTGGGCGTTTTGACGGAGATGAGCCCAGTGGAAGCACAGGAGCGTATGGCCAAGCGCGGCACTCCGAACATGGACTTGTTGGGATACAATCAGAACTATGGAGGCATGATTGTGCTACGGTTACGAACGGATACCCTGAAAGGGTTTCGGCCCTACCATGATCTCATCAACACATTGATCCATGAGCTGACACACAATGTTTGGGGCCCACATGACCACAACTTTTGGAAGTTGTTCGGCGAGTTAAAGGCCCAGTACATGCGCTTCCATCGCTTTTGGAGTCATGGAGGACGGGCGGCTGACAGCAACGCTGGGGGCCAGTTCCAGGGCTTCGAAGGTGACGAAAGTGCGGGGACGCAGGCAACCTTCGGACACATGCTGGGAAGTACAGACGGCACGGCCCAGACAGACTCAGACAGGCGGTCAAGAGCTTTGGCCGCAGCCGAAGCACGATTAGGCCAAGCTGCCGAAGCTTCCGAAGAACTGGGAGAGCCTGAGCAGCTTCTGAAACCCTGGGTGCCAAACTTTCTGGCCTCTAACGGGCAATGGATGTTTGCATGCCCATGTGGTCAAACCCACACGGTATCCACCGAGGAGAAGGAGCAACTCATCAGTGCACTGGTTGAGGGTACCAGCTGCCTTATGGCGGGCACAGTGGGCGCATCATCAAAGCTTGCAGACAACGAGGAGGAGGAGGAGGAGAAGGAGGAGGAGAAGGAGGAGGAGGAGGAGAAGGAGGAGGAGAAGGAGGAGGACCAGGAGGAGCACAACGAAGCTGATGAAATGGAGGCGCAGAGTTCTGGAGCAATGGGCAGTCCTGGCAGTCAACCTTCAGCAGCCGCCACACTCAGCAATGTGGAGCCCCAAGTGGTGCAGCAGAGAGAGGCAATGCTGCCAAGTCATTTGTGAGTCTTTCTTTACCCGAATGCGGAACGAAGGGTTCTCGTCTTAAGGGTGGGGGTCGCAGGGGATTGCCGTCACGAACCAAACCACGGAAGATTCGGGACATGTGCACGCACGTGCGTCAGTGAACTTTCCATTGCGAACAGCTGCAGGACGACAGGCCCAAACTGACCCCGACAGAGGTCCCGGTGAGTGGCCCCACGGTTGCCGAGGACAGCAATGCTTCAGACCTTTGGGCTAGTTAGTGACTAGTGGATTATGGATTTCATGCTGTGCTTCCAAAAGCCAGGATGATCCACTGGACCTCTCTGAATTGGAGCTTCAGGCTCACACTTTTTTGACACGGCAAAGTTTCTTCCCACAGCGTATCCTGCAGCCTAGTCGCACCAACTGAGCTTTTGAGCGTCTGCAATTGCTGCCTCCAAGGGTTTGGATGGGGCTGCTGTGTGGCTGAAGCGCTTCTCGGAGAAGCTGACAGGGCTAGCTGCTGAACGAGCCGCGAAGGCGACGCACCGTCTCCCCTCCCCACCCCAAAGCGCAAACATCTCAAAACCCAGCTTTTTGCGTGTCAGTGAGCGAGTGAGCGAGTGAGCGAGTGAGCGAGTGAGCGAGTGTGCGAGTGTGCGAGTGTGCGAGTGTGTGTGTGTGTGTGTGTGTTGTGTGTGTGTGTGTGTGACTCTGTGTGTGTGTGTGTGTGTGTGTGCACGAAAGCTCTGTTTGCATAGGGTTCTTGAGAGAATGCGCCGGTCAATGCAGTGTGTACTCGCTGGGTTTCTGTCAAAGTGCCAGTCGCAAGGCTTATCAGCCAGGACCTGAATTTGGCAGGTCGAGGGTTTTATTAACAATCTGCACAATCCTGCACACAAATTTTGGCAATCGCCAACCTGAGAGCCTAACATGTCACACCTGAAGTTACACTTTCGAACCAGTTCGAAGCCTGTCCTACGAGCATTGTGTTTGCAAATGGGGGGCCTGCAGTCCCTCCCAGCTCCGGGGCCTTTCGGGCAAGCCCGCTTTTGAAGAGCATCCTGCCGTCGAAGCCGTCGAAAGCAACTCCTGCAAATGCCCTTGTAAGCATCCTTCCAGACCCATCATACAAGCAGTTTGTTTGCAAATGCGGGGCGCCCTGCCCCCGTGCCAACCCGTCTGAAGCTCATTTTCAAGATCATCATGCCGTCGAAAGCAATGGCTGCAAATACCTTCATGCGTTCTTCCACACCCGTCGTATAGGAGCATTGCTTTGTTAGGCAACTCTGTCTGTCTCTCTCTCTCTCTCTTTGTGTGTCCGTTTTTGCTTGGTGCGTGTTAAAGACCGCGCACGCCAGTGGCTGAAAATGCTCTCTAGATGTGTCATGTTAGAAGACTTGCATCAAAGGCAGCTGCTGTGGAGCTTCTGTTGAAACTGGTCAAAAATGTGGTCAACAGCCCAGACGATCAGAAGCAACATGGCGGCACAGCGTTCGCTTCCACAGCTGCTTATTTCAGTGGTTTCCGTACAGCTACTACAGCTCCCGCATGTTGGGGAGTTCCCGAGATGTTTCCCCGAGGTTCCGGCGAATCCGAGCCGAGAACCCAGCAATCCGTTCCAGGCTGGAGCGCAAGAGCTGAAAGCAAAAAAAGGCTCAAGGGAGATTTTGCTCCGTTTCTGCCTGCTCCAGGCTAATAACAGCTGGCGGGGAGAGAGCGGAAACATTGATGACCATGCTTGGCTTCGAGTCGACGCTGCTCGGTGTTTCAAGATGTTCGACCACAAAAGGGGGTTATGTTGACAATTCTTTATTGCGGGAGCCGACAGAGCAGAGCCCCAAGGGCAGTCAGCAGAGTGTTGACCGAGGATGGATTCGAATGGCGAGCGGGTCTTTGTCCTGCGAGATGCATCTTTTGACTACGCGCGTCTCCGAATGGGTCAAGAACTTCTGGAGGCGCTCGGCCGGCTTGGCCGCCACTCGAAGCGCTCGGTTGGACACCTTGAGTGAACAGATGCAGAAACATGCAGAAACACATCAATTACACACTTTTTGCACTTGTTACCGAGCACACAACGCAATGAGAGTTCAATCGCAGTATTTTGTTTTTGTTCATCCTAAGCCAGGCCCCTGCACACTGCACTAAACTGCGCTGAGCGAACTTAGAGGAGCTTGATTAGAGGAGTCGCGCTCATGCAGGCCGAGTTGGACAAGATGACGGTCACAACAGCGCAGTGATGCTCCTGTGACCTTAAGGTGCAATGCCCGACTGAAGTAAACTTCCAACCCATTGTGCTAAGAAGATGTACCTTGCTTAGCGATCGTCATTTGGTACCGCAATCGTAGCCACACCACATGCATGAGCAACGAAAGTCTTATGCGCACTGCTGCTCAGCAGTGTTTTCCAGCATGGGCCTCCTCTGGCAAGCTCGGACCTTCCTCAACTACCGGCTGCCCATCTGCAATTTCAGCGCTGGTGTTTTCATTGAACTGTGCCAGGTCAGCTGTAGGTAAGCTGTGTAGAAGCAATTGGCTGCCTGAACGCTGAGGTTGTGTGTACAGTGGCTGGGCAAAGCCTCACAGAGTTTTCGCCAGTGGAAGTGAACATGTGAACGATATCAGAATCGTTCGACAGTCCTGCTGTCAGCACTCAACTCCCTTTTAAACCCCTAAACCCTACACCCTAAACTTTAACCCTAAACCCTAAACTGATCATGCATACCTAGCCGCGGAAATCGATAGTTTGCTTCCACTTTCCAGCAGGAGCCCCTAAGGAGCCAAGTTGGAGTTTCGAAGTCGACCACAGCCCATGCACAGACTCCGGCCGGGCTTGAAAAGAAGAGACACTCAGCAAGGGTTGCGGGCGATAGTCACTACTTGAAGGGGTATTTACTTGATTTTAGCTTGTCCATCCTAGAGATTTACTCTTGAGCCCGTGACGATGTGCCAAGTGGCTTCACTTGAGCAAGGTCCAGCGGCAAGCGACGTCCGTGACGTTTATGCCTTCCTGTCAATGCTGGCCATGTTTTGTTACTTCACACTATTGGTGGATTTCAGTGCCTGGGCGCAAAGAAAGGTGTCTCGTTATCTTCGGGTAGCTTTCTGCAAGCAGCCAGACGCTCGAACTGATGTTCCCATCTGACCATCGCTTCAGGTGCACTGTTCGTCCGCTGCTCTGCCTTTGTGATGATATCTGGACAGGTTCTTCCGGAATTAGCACCCTGGTGCAGGACGAGCTTGCTACATGACGCTGAAGATGTGTATGTACTGCAGATGCTGACCTAAAGAGTCTCGACTCTAGCCGTCAATGTCATTTTGTTCCGAGGTCCTCATGCTGGGCGCCGTCTTCTACTTGATACTGGTATTTGGATGTACAGCATCCACCTCCAGCGATAGAAGTTCAGACTTTGCAAACATATTTCAGTCCGCACTGAGTTTCTTCCGGATCAGCATCGGTATGTATCCGGCTGAAAACTTCCACAGCCTCCAATATTCCCGCTGGATTATGGTCATGTGTGTTGGATTCACCGTTTTAGCTCCCTGGCTGCCTACTCTGCCAATGACGTTGTTTGAAGGCTCGCTTTTACTATTTCACCCCCCCCCCCCCCCCCCCCCCCCCCCCCGCCCCGCTCGCCACAACATTTCTGTGACTACCTCAGGTTGTCATTTTCCTCTCGAACGTTCTGATAGCCCAGCTCATTGGAGCCTACTCCTCGCTGTATGACAGAATGCTGGGCCTGGCACGGCTCAACCGGCATCTCGGGTCTGCATAATCTTGAAGGCGTTTGAACGGCTGTTGTTCGCAGCTGTTGTTTCTGGCGACTTTCCGAGGATGGCAATCATATGCGATTCAATGCCTTCTGTCCGGCGATCTCGGTTCCAACGCTTTATTGCAAGGTTAAGGTTAGATGAGCGTACGGAATTTGGTGAAGGCTGCTGGACTGCACTGGATGTCAGGCTTTGCACGAGGGTGCACGGGATCTGCACATTCCTGCATTCTGATAACTTGAAGCAGTGCCTCCTGCGAGTCTCAACCTTCCTCCTTGTTGCTTTTCAGGTGATGTGGGCTTGCCAGGCTGCATTCAAGTCCTCGAGCCTGGCAATTTGAACCCAACCAACCAGGAGCATCCGTCCAGGTCTCTGTGTGAATTCGGAACGGAAGTGGAACGGGTGGGATGACGTATCTCAGTGTAAAAGTGGTCTATAGTGATCTATAGCGGTCTATATAGTCTATGCCGACTCCCTTTTTACATTGATCGTGGGTGGGAATGCTCTGGCGCTCATGCTTGCAAAAGGACACAATCAAGCGCTATGGTGGGTCGACCTCTCCAAAAATGCCTTGGCCCGCCACGCGGCCGCCAAGTATCGTAGCTCACATTTCCACGTCGAGCAGAGCAGCGCTCTTTTGCTTGGCCTGGAATTCAGGCCTAGAATACGTAATCTGGAGATCCAGTTGCTTGCTAAGGACGAGGAAGAAGAAGTTTCCGGCAGCATGGCGGAGCGGTTGCCTGGCAGCTCACATCGAAGCCACGTCGGCGTGGCCTGCGGAACACGGCAAGTTCCAGCGTTTGTGCAGCTAAGGCTGGACAATTTGACCAAACTCTGGAAGAAAGCCATGAGCCTCGGATTAACTTGGCTCATGGAAGGCAAGCAGTGACGAACATGGTCGGAGTAAGTTTAGTTCACACAAACCGATGCCTGTTCATAGAAGATATAGCATGTGTGCAGCACCGGTTACTTGCTGGTTAGCACCTGCTGGTTGCTTGCTGGTTGCGGAGTGCCACGTCAGGAGAAGGATTGAGAAGAAGAGGGACAAAGGTGGTCGGAGAGATGGCGGTAGCTCCGCTTCTGAGAGTGATGCCTGTCCAATTACAGCACTTGCAAGAATTATACCAGATGCTTCCATGATTGATGCGACGGTGCATTACAAGCGACAGGGTATACTCCATCTTGGCTATTGAGGACCTCAACAGAAGCAGGTCTTCAAGCTCGGCATCATGGCTGGTTAACCTCAAGGTAAACACGCCACTATCTTTTCCAGATATCGAGCTGGACCAACATGCTGCTGTGAGGTTGCATTGTTGAGCATGAGGGGCTTTAACGAGGGGGCTGTTTTCTGTTCTGGAAGTGACTAAGGCAAACTCCGACTCCTCGCAGTGAAGCGCCACTTACACACAGGCACAGCATTGATATCCCTGGCCCGAACAGATCGCAGTGCAGTCCTGCTTCTTCTGCGCGGCAAGCCATTATGAAGGCCTCGCCATTTCGCCACATCGTGATTCTGGAGTTGCTAATGCACTTCCACTGAAGCTGAAGAGCTTCTTCACATTGTTGGAGAAAAACTGCAGGTTCCAAACTCAACATTTTTGTTCAGCCTTCGCCAGATGCACAGACTGACACCATCAATGTGGAGTTTTCGAAAGCAAAAGTTTCACTCAGTCTGGGGATCGCTGCTTTTCAGCAGAGCAAAGCAGCATGTGCAGACTGCAACATCACCGCGCACTTCAGGAGTCAAGACTTGTTAATTAAGGCTTCAATGTCGTACAGGGAGCTCCAGTAAATGGAAAACGCGTCGAACGTGCAGAGCAATCACTCCAACAGGAAACTGCCTGTGAGGTGGGTGTGGGGGGAGGGGGGGTGGGTGCAGAAAACCTTGCGTTCAGAGCATCGTGTAGGGGCTGTAACTGCTCATAGGATGGCATCAGCGCACAAGTCTGCAGCTTCAGCTCAGTCATGTCCTGCTACCACAAGACGCAGCAGAAGCTGAGCCGAAAGTCATACGGCGGCATGGACCAGGATTGCCGGAGCTGGCTTTGCACCTGGCATCGTTAGCTCCTGCCTGTCTTCATCTGCTATTTTCCATCTTGAACGAAGCTTCAGATGCTCAGTTTTCGAGAGGAGACTCCGACCTACACGAGCAGTTTCACCGAAAAAGCTTGTCCTGCCATTGTGAAGCAACTTCTCCATCAAGCATGGTCTGTTAGGCCTTTTTTTCGCAACTCGCCCATTCAAGACTCTAGACCCATCTTTTGCTGGGAGGTGTATGAAACATGCTAGTCCCAGTAACCTCCAAGATAAGACCAACATGGAGCCTGCAGTCAGCAGGCCTGGTCGACGTTGGCTTCAAATGAGTTGGCCTAGCAGCCCGAAATTGCATGGCTGTGTCCTTAAAGTTGGCGTCGGATTGATTGCTTGCGGTGGCTGCATGCGGTAGAGGGTTTGTGTTAAAGCAGTCAGAGGAGGCCTGATCCCGCTTGAGGCTATCAGCTATGGTGTGGCATGGTCCAATGGTAGTCGGTAGTCAAACTCGCCAAGGACACACTTCCCTGGTTGGACTTATCCCAGGAGCTGCATCATGCGACGAGTGAGCAGATCGGGTTCGATTTTTGCGTTTCAACAGTCCAGTCTCGCTCGAGCAGCCATCGGATTGGCAGGAAGGAGAGTAGCGACAGAGAGAGAGAGAACACAACAAAAACATATGCAGAAGAAGAAGAAGAAGAACAAGAAGAAGAAGATGAAGAAGATGAAGAAGATGAAGAAGAACAAGAAGAGGAAGAAGAAGAAAAAGATATAGGCAGGCCCAAGTCGGAGCCCACACCGTGGCTTGAGCCAGTGTCGTTCAACAAACAATGCGATCGTATTGGGGCCTGAGAACGGCAGAAGCGCTCCACAAGGCGAGAAAGCTGTGGGCTGTAGGGAGCAACAGCATGTGACAGCAGAGCTGGAAAGACGAGGAAGCTGACCGAGAGGGTCGGAGTAGGCCGAGTGGAGGTGGAAGGAGCCAAGCAGGAGCAGGCCGAGAGAGCAAACAGTGACAAAGGGCTGGAAACGACCTGGAGCACCGAAAGTGGAGATGCCTGAGGGATGCCGCCAGAGAGTGCAGGGGGGCCATCGTGGCACTCGTCCAGGCGACGAACAAACCAGACTCGAGCAACGCTCTGTAGGTTTCTGTTGCCCGCTTCGTCTCGGGGTGGTGCCTGAGTCTTGGTCGGGCACTGCCCCATCCCATCCCATCGCACGAACGAGACGCTACAACGTGTTCATAGCGGAAGAACTGTAGATCCCGGAAATTGACTGTTGTGCCAAGTGTTCACCACTCAGCCACAGTGTAGCTCCCTCCCATCACTACCTGCCTGCACCTCACCTAACCTCGGCGCTCTTAACCTACAAACCTACCTATCCACCCGACATATCGACACCTGCCGAAGCGCTTCCCCCTCCACCTCCCCCCCAAATCCGAATGGAGCTGGCAGCGTGAGTTTGAGGGCCGCTGGCTATGGCATCCAGTTTAGAGCAAGCATGCGGGGCCATGCGGAGATGTGGGGAATGTAGCTGCGCATCATTGTGCTTTGAGATTGGAGCGTGCTTGTGCATGCAGAGGAGTCTCACGACAAGTTCCGCTATTTGGCCTTCAGCATCTTTGGGGTCTGGGTCGCCGCAATTGGAAGGCTCGACAACACCGTAGTCAGCTGCATCAGCTGCACAATGTTGTCTTGCCTCAAGCGCCAGTATGCGATAGTGCACCCATCTTCACCTCGCTCATCATCCTCCCATGCCCTGAGAATTGCCTTTCGCGACAAGGTGGGAGGAGGGCTGCCAACTCGGTGCCGAAAACGATATGATTCCAGGTATCCTTGGTGTCATAGCCTTAGCATGGCATGGCCACCTTGGTTGTCGGCACTTTGACAAGACAGTTGTAGTTTTTACTAACCAGAAGCCACGGATCAGTGCTTGTTCTGAGAACCTCAGTCTGAGGTTTGGCTCTTCCAAAACCAGCTGTTCTGCTGCTCTTGCAGTGCAGACCTCAGCATGACTGTAGATTCTACTCTGCGGTGGGGACTCACCGCGAGAACGGAGGAACACGACGGAGTCATGTAGCACCATATCGTCGCTACAACATGGGTCTGTGCAGGACTGGTGCAGTAGGGAGGCCTGCAGCCGCTTTTGCAGCATCGGCAGGTCACAATGGCGTAACGGATCACGCAGCATTTGCGTCGTGATATGCGCAACAAACTACCGCTCGCAATTCAGTGGTTTTTCTTGCAATGACGATTGCCTGTGTGCTCCTTTGCTCAAAATCTGCCGCTTCTCAGCAAACCGCAAGTTGTTTAGCTCCTTTGAACCACAACTTAGAACTCGGAAGCCCTTGCATGAAGAATTCCTTGGTTGGTTCATCTTGGGGAGAAAAGGGAGCCGTTATGCAAGAGGGACTTCACTTCGAGCAGCACATGTTGTGCTAGGTCTGTCCGGCTGCACTCCTCCACACACTTCTTGTTCTCTTAGAAGGCATGGTTTGGCGAGTTTGGCCTTCAATGGCTGTGGAGATGTCTAGAGGCAGATGTTTCCCCCAGCGGGAGAGCAAGAGCAGTAGGGGAGAGCTGAGGAAAGGAAGCAGAGACGTGCCGGAGTGCGAGCGTTCTTGTTTAATCATTTCGACTTGGGGATGGTGTGCGTGAGGGGCTGACACAGAGCCACCGGCAAGACACAGCAGCATGTGGTGCACCCTGCTCCCTCAATGGTGGAACTTCAACAGTCCTCTGAGGCTCCAGTGATGAGGAGCAAGGCCAGCAGATACCTGAAGACGGTCCTGTTCGGACAGGCCATCGTGAGTATGGAAGCAGTCAGTTCCACTACCACATTCCATTATTTATCACTACGGCCGTTTCGTCTTTAAACATCTTTTGGGCTTCGTCATGGTGCTTCTTCTATTGATTCATTGTGGTAAGGCGTCCCGGCGCCACTGCTGATTAAGCGGTGCGACCAGATTCCGTTGTCACCTTGCGTGCCTGTCTAGTGCATTCCGCACTAGGTCACGCCCAGCAAAGGGTGGATGCAGGTCTCAGAACAGGGATGGAGAAGGTAAAAACACATGCAGTTGCATTCAGAGAGAAATGCCAGCAGCAAGCCCGCATGAACATGACAGTTTCAATGATCACAGTCTGTGCAAAGAGCAATGCGACCACAAGTCAAGCTAACAACGCCGCCCGTATTTGCAATACTCATAGTATTCCATATCCACAATGACCGCTGGCCCAACGAACTCTACTTGAAACGCATACTTAGGCAGAAGGAAAAGTATCGCTACATGTCATGCCTGTGCTGCTTATTTCGGTCCTTCCCCACCACTACTGGCTACTGCCGCTGCCATCCCGCCACGACGACAACTACACTGTCCATGACTACTACCGCTACATCACGACTTGAAGCCGCCATCGCCATCTCCACCCGAACCGAAATACTTCTCGCTTCTCTACCAGCACACCACTGTTTGTCTGTCCGTCGCTTCCTGAAAGAGTCCAAGTGACGCACGCCTAAATTCGTGCCCCAGAAGCCATTCCACCACTGAGGACTACTTTTCTCCTTTTTCTTGAGCCGTCTTCTGGCCTAGGATTGGATCGCAAGTGATAGCGTGCTGACGTGCCTCATCCAGAAGCCTGGCAGGTTCGACCTGCCTCATTCCTTTCGTGCTCCTGGCAGCTGTCAACGTGCAATGCCCAGACTCGCTTCAGCTTCAGATGTTCGTGAGAGCTTCCTTGCATGCCTAAGCTGTCAGAATTTGGGAAGGCCTTATCGTATTTCGTTTTGCGCGCTTGGCCTTCCTTGAGGAATTGCAGAGAGCACTTAGGGCCTTTGAGGCTCTGCCTACTTCAAAACGTACGACAGGCTGGATTAGTAGAGCGATTTCGCGATGAGTTGGGAGGGTGCCGCCCTGCCTAGAGTTACCCATTGCTTACCCTGAACCCCCCAAAGCCATTCACACCCTGGACGAAAAACACGAAGTCTAGGCACCCTTCACCCCCAGCTTATCACGCAAATCGCCGTTGTTTTCTGCGAACTCGAGCCTAGCAGGCTTGGATCTAAAGTAGGGCCGCATCAAGCCTGGGCCGATGGACTGGTGGGAAGCTAGTCCGCGACAGAGACCTGATGATGCTCACCAAGGGGGGGAAGAAGAGCATGAAGAGCGCGCGCTGAAAGCTGCAAAGCGATTGGAGCGGCTGGTTGAGGGAAACAGAAAGGTCCAGCCCCAAAGATGCTCACGCGGGGGGGTGGCCTGCTCGGATCCCCTGCAAACTAGAGTTTTCGTCCCTCGGTGTGCGTCGCAAGTAGAGGGAGCCAGCTTGGCTTTTCGAGTCCGCCCCCCCCCCCCCCCTATGGAAAGAAGGCTTTCTTTGACTTCTTGATGGTGGCACTGGCCGTATCCTGAGCACTGCAGTGGCGCCTTCGTTAGCAGCGATGTCAAACATGTCTCACCCTGGAACTGTAAGGCTTATCCAGAGTGCTTTGAGTCTGTGATGGTGGCCGGGCAGGGTTCCAACTCGGTGGGCTGAAAGCTTCTCACAGTAGCTGAGCGGGTGCAATGGCATGTAACGTAGCATTAGTTCGGGCATGGCATGGTAGCTACGCGCACGCTGGCTTTCTGAAGCTTCCAGGCGAAGGCCATGCAGAGAGCAGAAAAGCAGACTACAGACTAGGGTACCAGTTGTCAGATGCGCATGTTGGTGACTGGAGAGGCTAAAGGCACGCTTTGTGCCGAATCCTTCTTCACTTTTGGGGCAGGTGTCTTCCAGGCAGGTGCAGCCGTGTTTGCTACGTTGTCCGGATGAGCGAGTCCTGGGGACTGACGGAAAAAGTCACTGCTGGACATGGTGCGGCGCATGGCCTCATGTCGTCAATCCGCTTGCAATGAGGAAGCAGGCGTTAAACTTGGCTAACGTGCGAACGCCCAAGCTGTGGGTTGTTTTCGAGACAGTAATGCCCGGAACGGTTCAGATTAGTTCGATGGCTTTCGCCCATCTTTTCGGGAGGCCTGCGGTGCGATCCTTGCATTTCAGCCCCGGACTCAGGAGTCGCTTGGAGACTTTAGGGTCCAAACGGCAGACATTCAAAAGTAGACCCGCGAAGTAGAATCTTCACCCAACATATCGATACTGCACAGTACGTGCCGAGGATATGGTGGAGTATGCCTCAAAGCTCGGGCTACAGCTTGGTCATGCAGGATGCGGCTTGACTCTGCAGTGCCAGAGCTGTTAGCTTTCAGCATACTTTATAGCTGCGGGGATGCGCCCTAAGACTCACCGGCGATCAGTCACTGGCTTCTGCCTCCCTTTCCACTGCAGTTCGTAGCGTACCCTTTTTTCACTTGGTGCCAGAAAGCTCGTCTCTTCGGCCCCTACCGCTTCAAGCAGAAACGCAGCAAATCGATTCAGGACATGAGCCGTGGACGATAGCAGGTTCTGCACAAGACTTTTCTACTAAAACCTCTCAAACAAGCTGCTCAGAGAGATGATTCAGCACACCACTGGGCCGTCGATGCTGCATAGGCGAAGGACGCTTGTTGCCATGCCGTTGCCACTCCGAACTTGCCGAATGAAGGCACATGATGGGTCTCACTTAGGTGAACTTCCTCCGATTTTGGGAGTGAGCCTGCACATTGGGATTCTGGGATGTGAGGCGAATGGCGGATGGAATCGGCCTTGTGTTTGGACTTCTCATGGCCAGATGTGCTGGAGGCTCAGAAGGAAGGAGCCATGAGGCTTAGCCAGGGAGTGTGAGAAAGATCGAAATGCAATTCATGTTTAATGTGGTTTAATGTGGGACTGCAGCGGAAGAACAGGCTCTCGCAGAGCTTAGCAACGTGGGCCCATTCATCATTCAGGATCGTGGGCTGTTGTTCCAAGTTGTCTTCTGAGAGGTTTTCAGACAAGTGCCACGCTGAGTTCGCAGTGCAGGGGAAGCTTAGCTGCGACATGGCTGCCTCGCGACTACTGCAAGCTGCAAAGCTCCGAGCTGAGAGATACGGCTCTTGTCCTACCCGAAAGCTTCTTTTTGCAGACCAGAGGCAGTCTGCATCAAGATGGCTGTCGCCCCATGCATGGCCCTCGCTTGCCCGGGCCTTGCGCTGCGTTTGCTTGCCTTGCTCGTTGAGGTTGTTGCAGTCGAAGTTTTTTTTGTTGTGGCTTCTCTAGGGTGTGCCCTGCTACTGCCACTCTGGCTTTGTTCTGAGGCCGACTTCTCGCTGCTCGAGAAGTGCAAGCTTGAAGGCCATGGGGTGACCCGATTGACCAGAGCAGAACACTTGCAAAAGCGGGTTGTAAAGGGTCGTAAAGGTCGTGCCATTCCGAGACATCCATGCAATCCATGAAGTTGCCAAATTTCCGCAGCATTTGGCTTCTCCAGACTTTGTGCGGCGTTTCCTTGCTCCTTTCGTGACACGGCATGTACGTCTACACAGGAGCGATGGAGCAAGACCAGGCTCAGACCGCCGATGTGGAAAGCCAGGGGCTGCTCAGTTCGCAGCCCTCCCAGCGAGAGCGGACATGTGGATGGCAGTGTACGGCGGCAGCTTTTCTGCTAGGACTCGGGCTTGTGGCCGCAGCACTCGCGCATGGTACCGGGCAGGGCTTGAAAGCTGGCATGGCTGAGAAGGTCCAGCTGCAAGATGACTCCATTTGGAAAGAGGTTCTGGGCCACAAGGCCTACAAGCAGTATGAGAGCTCCGTGTCCCACCGGCCATCCGAGACGACCACAGCAGAGACCTCTCCTACTACCCGTGTGGCTTCAACAACTTCGAAGTCTCCCAGCTCCAGCTCGCTAACGACAGCGATGCCAACGATGCCAACAGAAGCTGCGCGACCAGGCCTCATGGTTTCACATGTTTCGTCAAGCAGCCCAAGCAGCCCAAGCAGCCCAAGCAGCCCAAGCAACCCAAGCAGCCCAAGCAGCGCAAGCACCGTGACCACCGACACCGCTGAGATCACAAAGATGGGAGATGTGGCCAAGGAGTTCTTGGATGAGGCAGGAAAGCTGGATCCAAAGAGTGCAGAGCACAACTCCCTGAAGAAAGTGGCTCACTTCCTCAGCGGCATGGCAGATGCCAAGAAGAGGATTGCTTCAACCACTCCGAATCCGAACCTGCCGCAACTCACAGGGAACGTCAGCCAAATGCCTTTGCACAGCGCGCTCGCTCCGCTGAATTCGCTCAACGATGGCAACAAATGCGCCAACGACGAGGAGGAGGTGCTTGGGTCTTGTTACAAGAAGTGTGCTGACCTCACAGGCGGATTCTTTCCAATCAGGACCAGCCCATTTTCGTGCTGTGAGGCGGAACCATGTGGCTTTCAGAACACTCGTGTTCATTTGAGCTTCTGCTCCGGATTTGACGTGGCAGGAGACCAAGAAGGACATGGATGTCCCAACTTCGAAGGTGCCTGTTTGACAGATGAGGAGCTCTTCAACGGCCTCTGCTACAAGAAGTGCTCCCTTTTCCAGGATGGCTACACTTTCAATCACAGAGTGGCCCCAAACATGTGCTGCAGCACACATGGGCTTCAGTGCCTGCTTCCCAAGTACTTCAAGTTCAGCCCTGACTTTGCGATTGGCGGTGGCCGAAACGATGGCAATGCACAGACGCCGTCGGTCCCACATCCACCTATGAAGGAGCTGACAGAGGTGGATGCATGAGAGATGCTGTCCGCCTTTCGTAACTTTCAGGATGGGTTGCAAACAGTTAATTCATGCAACAAGAAAACACAGTGTGCGAATGCGACAGTGCAAGGGCTTCCGTGCTGCTGCTATGGTAGACCTATGGGATCTTGAACACGTGCACTGAGAATGCTGCGTCAAGTCAGATTGACTGAGCAAGATTATAAGCAAGATCCCGACCATGCTGCAGTCAGGATACTGGGCGAGGCTCCGGTGCTAATTCGGTCCCGGCAAGAGTTCTGGGACTGCACTCTTTCAGCGAAATGCTTCGCATGCCCGTTCTTTGGACTTTGCTAACGAAGACCGCACCCAAAATGGCAAGCTTGTGCTCTGGTGCTATCGTGAACTATACCATGAAGCACCTGGCTTTCTGCCACATTCTTGTGGAGGCGGTGCATGTGCAAATCAGTGGGAAGCCCATCGCTGCAATGCAGACATTTTGCCGCGGCCTTGGTGCCTATATAAATTTCGAGATCTGGGTTGTTAAGTAGCGTGCTTAAGTCAACAATCTGACATCGTCGAGGTCCATCTGTCCTGGCATGGCGAACATGCCTGCATGTCACAAAAGCTAGTTTCTTGGAGCTTGCAGGAGTTCTTGTTTAAAGTTTGCAACCTTCTCGTGTTGGGACAACATGCAACTTGAGGTGACCGTTTGCTAGGACTTACCACCCCCCCCCACCCCCGCCCCCGTGACCTGAGGACCACCCACCTTTGGGCCTGCAGATTTTGCTTCCAGGGATCCAGCTACAGAAAATGCACGATCACTGTAAACCCAAAGCCCAAACCCTTGCCAAGCCTAAATGGTGGGTTCTCAAGAAGCAGCTGTGTTTAGAAACTTTAATTAGAGGAGACATGAACCATGATCTATATCAACGCCTGCAGTGTGAGGCTTTTACAGCCAATGCTGCGGGCGTATGTGGAACTGTCGGGGCTGCTTCAGCGCTGGAATGTGGGAAGGCTTAGCACCATCATGCTGGTGAGCGTTCGCGTGAATTCATGATGTGCGGTAGAACTGGGTCCAAGGTCTCGCAGGCACGGCCAATGCGAGGCTTGACCATCATCACTCGTCACCTGAAAAACGGCTGTTGTCTTGAGTTCTTGAGTTTGGAAAAGACTCTCAGTCTCATGGAGGATTCGCTTCTGCGAGGCTTGCTGAGGTGATGCAGGCAAGTGCGGTGCACGGATGTGCTCACAGATGTGTGCTTTCTCGGCGGTCTGACCTTTACAGACTCTACAGCGCATGCTCACCCCGAATGCTGGCTCTGTGTCTGGTTCCCCCGTGGCTGTGTTGGCTTCAGGAGCGCAAGACGCGCCCATGAAACTTGCACAGTGGACAGTTCAAGAGCACAGAGGGTTTTTATTGACGTCAGGCCAGATAGGCTGTTCATGTCAAAGCGGTGCAGCATGTGCGAAGGTTCATTCAGGTGGAACCTGCTCGTACGAATTTCGGAATCGTTGCAGCCTCCACAGTTCAAGGTTACATCTGGCTGTGTTGTTCATTCAAAAGCGGCCGCAGAATCTCCTCCTGAGCCAATTTCGTGACCTTCAGCGGGGTAGCTGCTCGGCTTGAAATGTTGTTGTCGAGTCTGAGACAGTTATATAATACCATTGTCTCGATTAGTCTTCGTATTCCGGTTATTCGTCCGCTATTGTCTTCAGTATTCTTACTACTGTTACTACTCCCGCTGGTACAGTATTGTCTCCGGCGCCCAGGCAACTATGGCAGAGCAATGCTCCACCAAGGCCGGCATAGACGCCCGCCCAGGGCGTGCAGAATTCGCAAATATTCGACATCATGACACAACATCTCATGACACTTTTCAGATTCAGAACCTTGAAATGTTGTTTGAGTGCTGCTGTGTCAGGTTGTCAAAGGAGAAGAAGCCGTTCTGGAGATCGCGGAGATGCTGTGCTTTGGCCATGAGAACTGCCTACAGTGTGTGATCTACGGCATTGGGCGTGAGTGCAAACTCGCGCTCATGCCCTGTGAATTGCGCACGCCGCTGAAAACGTCGTTTTCGTGGTGCAGGTACCTGAGAGTCTCTGAGAACAATCAGCTTGCTGGCAGCTTGGCAGCATGGTACTTCGCAAGAGCTTCTGGGCCAAGACCATGTCGGATGGCGGTCTCACGAGTCTTCTCTGTGAGTCGGACTGGTTCTGCAAATCTGTCTCAAGCAAAGGTCTTTTCGACGAGAAGCATGCCGAACAAGCTCTGGAGGAAGTGGTTGCACAACGCACAAAAGTTGTCGTAACTTAAATGTGCTCATGCCTGTCATGTCTGACTTCTTTGTCGCGCCCTCTTGGCTCGTTACGCCCGGTCTTTGAGGAGTTCGCCAGCTTGATTGAGAAGTTGGCCGAACTCGACTCCACGCAGATGCTTCTCTCGCCGAGACTTTTCAGCCAGCAGGCTAGGCAGACACAGCACGCCTGCTGGGACACATGATGCTGCCGTGGTTGCCTTCCTCGTGAGGCTGTGGACTCTGTCGCAGAGATTCTCGTGCAGTCTATCCAGGAGAACCAAGACACCCCAGATCCGCTGGCAACGGTGGAGGGCTTACGTTTTTGACTGGTAGAAGTCAAGTGCGTTCATGCAACTTTCTCTTTGAGTGTACTTGGCATGCTTTGCCTGTCACGGCTAAGATGCATCACAGTATGCCGGATCAATTCATGTCACTAGTGTTCTGGTTCTGGTGCAAGAGATAGATGAAATAATCAAAGCACGCATCTCAATGCCTGCGTCCAGAGCCTGGTGAAGCTGACGGCGTCAGCTCGAAGCGAGCCCCGCCTTACACGGCTGGCAAGCGATATCAAGGCTGCCCAGGCACTCTGAGTCCTTGCTCGTTCCTAGAGCTTGCTTTTGGATCATGGATTCAGGAATTGGTTGAAATGGCTGCCCTCAATGGGTTGCGCAGGCAACGCACGTGGGTGCATTGGACGCGGTGGTGACTTGCAGCACGCAGTCTACATGCAGGTCATAGGTAGAGAGCGAGTCTAGCGACGTGCATCAGCCGAAACAGACTTTTGCGAGCTTTTCGGCTTGCATGTCTGAGGTCCTTCCAGAAGATGCAGTGGACAATCTGAATGGCCCCGTCCTGAGGCTCCCGTCTGTGAATAGAGTTATGAAGATCCAAGCAGCTTCAAATAAGGCGATCTCAACATCACGCCTCGGGGCTGCATTTTGTGGAGACGTGGCATGTGCAATGGTAAACCGCTGCTTGCAAAACGTCTTTCCTTTCAGTAGCTGAGAACTCCGCACCGTTAGTTGTCAAGGTCGTTTGACGAGCTGGACATGCCAGAGCATGAGGCCACAATCCTTCTTCGGCACCGATCAGTGTTAAGTTGTGAACTGCAGCATCTTCACCCGGCTATCGCATCTCATTAGTATCCATGAAAAAAGTGTATGTGAGTTAGAACGTGTGTTTAATACAGAATTGCAGTCGGAATGTCAATCGTGCTCACAAGTAGCATTCCGTGATTTGCTTATGGTATCCCTTTTACTATGAGTAGTTGGGTGGTCTGAGGTCAGATTTATCTGCCGTTGGCACCATGCTATGAGAGCTGCCTTTAGGAGTGGGGAAGCTTCGACTTTGCTTTTGGTACCCTTGGGATAGGAAGCCTGCCCCCTAAGATTCTTGGGGTTATCTTTCCACACAATAGCATGTACTGGTCCCTAAAGCTGTTGATGTAGGTTACAGTATGTTAAATCCCACCCGGCAAAATCTGCCCGTGTCTGCGCGCTGCCGTTCTCTCCCAAAATGGTGGAGCGTAGATGCAGGCAGGTTTTGTCCATTGGTGTTTGCTAAGCTCTGCTATGGCTATGACCCGGTTATGACCGTAAGGGGCGGTCGCCCAAATTTTGAATGTTCATAATGGCTTCATTTCGGAAGAAGGCAAAAATTAAAAATTGAGAAAACCAAATCCTCGGTATCTGGCGAGTAAAATTCCTGGCAATCCAGAATTTGGAGGACTGGGCAATTCGGATCTGAATGCCAAGCAAAATCTGGCAATCGGCTGGTACCCTTAAAAAGCATGCCTTTGTCCGGAGCCCAGTTATATTCTCCAGCCTATGTACAGCCAGCAGTCCAGTATATGGATTGCTTACTTGACAAAAATCAATTTAGCAAGGTGGCCCGTTGTGGAGATAAAGATAAATATAAAAGTAAATAAATGGTAGCACTAGTGAGGTAAGAATCCAAGGTGAGAACGAGAAAGACACCTGGGTTTAGCTCCATAAACGCTGTAGTTCCGAAAACGCAAGAGAATGGGTACCGTTGTACCTGCAGGCCTTGGTTATAACCATGTCTGTTCATGTAAATGTTATCGAGATATCCAAGCAGTATATAGACAGCAGCTTTGCTGGTGTGAATGTCACACCGTGTTTACTGGAACTACTCTGTGCCCGAAAGTTCTCCATGATGAACGCACACTGCTTTCCCAGACAATAGCTACAAGTATGTCTGCCTTGTTTGCAAAGAAGAAAGATGACGAAGAAATATAATCCAATCTTGTCCCAGAGCCCTTCCCATCTGATCCGACACTCAACGTAGATGGAACAGCTATAATAAGCAGCATCGCAGGACAGGTGTTGCGTTTCACGCATCACGCGTGGCAACAGGTTGCATAACATATGAGTCGCATGCCAGAATTTTGTAGCAGGTAGGATTTTCCGGCAGGGAGCAAGGTGCCAAGAAAAGCCACAACCTGAAGGTAGGAGCGAGATACTGAACCATGGAGCAGCTACATTACACCTTGCGTGCGGTAGCCATTCCAAAGCTTCAAAGCGTACGCGGCGCGTGCGGTCGTCAACATCCATCTCTTGGGCCGGAGGCGGAGCAGGTCCAAGAGGTCTGGAACCGCTTCATCTCCTTCTATGAATCGACAGAGATGGTTGGCGAGGCCATGCAAACCCTGTTGGCTGTCAGAGTTGACCTGCCAAGGGCTCTGTTGTCTCGAACCTAAATTACTGACGTCAGCATGTC